GAAGCCAACACGACTTGGTTGTTCCCAGTATACAATTCATTGCCACATGCCTGAAGGTTTTCTTCGTGAATCCCCGTAATATTTCAATGTCCAGCCTCAAAATTACCAGCCATGCTTTAACTGGCCATAAAAAAGTACTTGGGCCTGTATTAAAATACTCATTAAACACAAAATATTCAGTATGGCCTTATGTAGTGGGCTCTGTGATAAAACACAAAGAGCATTATCTGAGATTCATCAGAACTTGAGAGAAATATTGCTGGATATGGCAAAGAATTACTGAAACCAAAAAGGATTAACGTGGTACTGTAGAGAAAAGTCTCTTTACTTGGATTTAGAAATCACAGCACATATATAGCAAGCACCCACTTTTATATTCACTGCTGTGAGACCAAACTACACTACAAAGCATTCCCAAGAGAGGTTTTTTTCACCTATTTTTTTCTGACTACTTACATTTCTATAGTATGCCAATCTCTCCTTGTTCTGGTATGATAAACAATCTGGGGTGAGCTATTAAAGGCCTCATTTTTCTTTCTGTTTTTTGCCTACCCACTGTCTGCTACAACCTGAAAATAGTCCTTTTCTTCACTGTAGTGGTCAATAATTTTTCTTGGTGTCTCTTGCCCTTTGTCCATTGTGAATTGTGTAATCTATGCCCTCTCTTAAGGAAATCTGGTGTGCTGTTCCAGCACAAACAGACAGAAACCCTCAAGCCACCCCATTTATAACCTTGGTGTTCTCCACACAGTAAGTTTTCCTTCAGGACTGGGACAGGGGAAACACCCTGTTGGGACCCCTGTGAGTGAGGATGCAAAGGAAGGGAAATCCTGCCCCTGACTAAAGCCTTCCCTCTGCTCACTGTGTCCTGTGTCACTGCAGGTTCAGGAAACACTTTGCTTCCTAGAATAACAGGAGAAGTATCTTTCATATTCAGATGTTGTGCCACAGTTCTTAAACTGCAGTATAAGCAAAGAGCACCTTTTTCCCACAAGTTAGTGCAATGAGCTAATATTGGTATTAATTTGGAGATGTGTGTCAAAGGCAGTTAATCAATATGTTTTGTGTACTGAGAACAGAGCTGACAGTGTCAACTGGTGCTGTATGGAATATTTGATTTTATTTTAATTACTTATTTATTTTCTGTGGTCCCTAAAACAGACTCTACAGGCTTGCTTCCTTGGCTTAATTCCTTGTGGATGAAGAAAAATCAATATAAATGAAGGATCAGTTTTGCAAATATCCATATCTGGGTTCAGTGTAGCTACTCAAATTCCTAATAATTTGGAAGATCAGATCTTCATTTATAAAGTGAGAATGGATAATTTATTTCTATCTCAGCAAAAGCACACTAGGCATCATTGTCTATGAAAACCATGGCCATGATGAAGTATTAATTATACTGCTGGAGGTAACTGCAGGGGGTGAGAGGCTTGAAATATTGGCTCTTTGGCTAAAGCAATGTTTTATATATGACATATTTCTTATGAAAAAGAGTCTTGTAGAACAAGCCCTTCAGAGAGGGACTGCTCCAAACCAAAGTTTCTTTACTTTGGTATTTTTAAAGGAAACCATGTTTTTTTGGTTTGTATTCTTATCTTTCCCTTTATATTCCGGTACGCTGTTTTAGAAAATGATATTTTTATGCTTCAGAAATCAGATCGAGTCAACCCTTTGATTGTGACATGCAGCCACAGGTGAGCTCTGGTCACTATATTGCAAAACCTCTTTTTATTTTGCATGGTTACTGAGTGGGAACACCTGCAGAAGGTCAGGACCTGGTAAAGCTGTAGGCACTTGGGACAGGCTTTGATGAGTGCTCAGCCATTCTTTTGGTTGTGGCCACTCCTGAACGTGTTCAGCAGGATCACACTGCTCAGTGTATACCAGTAAAGAGCTGTTTGGCCTGTTGAAAACAGGTGCTGATGTTTAAAGCTCTTTGGAAACATTACCTGCTTTTAAAAGCCCATATCTAAGGAGAGGTAATAAGGCTTAAATAATACCTAGTGGTCAGATTATGGCCTCTTGGTTCTCATCTGCGTTACTAAAGGAAGTCTGAAGGCAGTTTTTGTTGTACCCTGTGTGTGCTCCCTGTTGTACTTGGTGATGGGGTCCCCTGTGCTTGCTTTTTGGTAGTGTTGGGATCATCCTGCACCTGGTAAGAAAGTTAATGGCGAAATAAATGTAATCCCAAACCTGCTTATTTTCTGGCAGCTGATTTCAGAGGACTCCCTTGTTGTCTCTGAGGTCGTAAGCTCTACATAACAGGTAGGTAAGTGATTTCAGGAAGAGGAGAGGTGTGTCTCGTCTCTCAAGATCACAGGAGGTTAAACTGCTACAAATTCAGGCTAAAGGTAATTCATTGTTTTGATACAAAGTATTCAAAGAGAAGGCAACAAAGGAGGAAATTTCTGAGGGTTTAGGTAGGTTTGCAGTTGAAAATGACTTCTCTATCTTTACTCCTTTTTCTTTTCTTAATCTCTTTCTTTACTGTGTCTTTAATATCTTGCATAACTTAAAACCGAGTGGGTTGGTTTTTGCTAAGTTGTGTGGATTAGTGTGTGCTAAATAATAGCTTTGTGAAGTGCTCTATCTTGGTTGCATGTCACCCTTTTGAATTTTAGTGAAGATCCTTATTTTCTCCCATATTTTAAAAGTAGAAGTGTCTCCTGGAAAACATGTGCATCATATTATCTTTACACTGCCTCAAGGTATTAAAGCACTGAAGGCTCTGCCAAAGTTCGGTGGGTGAAATTTTGGAGCCTTGTATATTTTTAAAAGTAAACCTCCTGGTTGAGGTTGTGGCTCCGTGGCTGGGGTCTTACAACGTGTGAGATCCCACAGCCCTGAGTGCTGCAGCTGCTGGTGGCTTGTGTGTGACCAGCATTTCATTTGAAATGCAGAATTGATTATGTCAACAGGTTTGATATCACAGTGTTCCAAGGAGGGGGATTAATTCACATGCTACCTCTATGGACCATAGAAGCTGCTCTGAGTATTATTAATATAGCTTTGAGGAGTTCTCACTTGGATTAATAGCCTTTTGCAAGGTAAAAGAAGACACTTTTTTCTTTAAACTACCAAGCAGTATGTTTCATGTAGGCGTTCGTGAGGATTTTAATGAGCTCAAACCATGCAGTGTTCTTCAATTAACTTTGATTATACTTGTGTATAATTTATTTTGACAATAACTGCAAAATTACTTTTCATTCAGGAAACAATTGGAGCTCACCACGTCTTGACCTCCTTTACTCTCATGTAATTTTAATGAAGATAGAATTGAATTTTATTAGGGATGAGACCAATGCACTTGAGAACAGAATCTTTGTCTTTTCTACCCAAAAATGGCAATAAGAAGGGTGGTGATGAAAACAGACAGTAACAATGGAAAATGAATCTTTTAATTATTATAAGATTTTATTTAAGAGTGAGCATAGAAGTGTTTTATGTGCTTTATGAGATAATATTCTGAATAATAATGCCTGATAGAGAGCATTAGTTTCTGTGCTGTGGGGGGGAAGAGGAAGGACAGCTGGAATAACAAATAAAATAAGAAGGAATGGTGTTCTCTGATGCTCAGTGCAGCACGTTTGCTGCCATTGAGGTAATTCAGAGATATATGTAATAAAAGTCTACAGAACATGCACAGCTTTTAGCAGCTGTTTGCATTCACTGTTTTATTGCAATTACTGTTACTCCTGTTCTGTTTCTTAGTGATACTTTGGATTCTTCTTTGAGTTCCACCTCAGCTTCTCTGTCTTGTTGGCACTGCAGGGTCTGGTGTTCCTCACAGTCAGCTGCTGTTCTCACACACAGAACTGCTTCCCTTAGATACTTTTCTGGTTTTAATCTTTTTTTCCTCTCATTAGGAAAGATTCTGGCATATAAGAAATGAACTTCTCATCAGAGGCAGTATAAACCTCTAAAAGTATCTGAATGCTTTCTACCTGGAAAGCAACAGAATAGTGAACTAGCTGTCATAGTGTGTTTGGTACGTGCACTTTGGGGACAAAATGTTTTGATAAGCTTTTTGTATTTTTGAGGGAATGGCAGAGACAAGACAGGTTGAAGAAAGATGCCTTGTGCAATACCTGAGAGGGAGAGTAGTGTTCCTACAGTGTGCAAACTTGCCATAGACCTTTTAGTGCTCTTGTAACAGGAAAAACGTGCTTTTATTCAGAGATTTAAAAAAAATCTTGAACCCCATAACAATATATATTATCCAATCATAGATGCACGTTTGCAGGAGAAACTTTCTCACTACTGCATTATAAAGACACATTTCCAGCAGAATAATTTGCTGTGGATGTTGCACTGCTATTCTTTAACATCAGTCTGTAAATTTGGTGGCCTCTGTCCTGGAATATAGGCTTCCTAGGCTGGAGGTCATTTGGGGTTTTTTGCAGCAACATATGTGGCTGCCTCGGGAACTTGCCTGCAGTGTATCAGATAAGTTAGAAGAAAATAAAATGTCCACCTGTAGAACACAGATTATATCTGGAGCTCATTGCTTATTTCAGCAGCATGCTGCTGTGTTGTCTTTGTGGACACTTGATTTCTGTTGTTCGAAATTTATTGACTTAAAAGAATAATTAGGTGTCTACTGTCAGCTTGGAAACGTCCCTAACTGGGGAGGAGGGGTTATTATAGCACTTACTCTAAACAAAATCTGGATTTATCCAGTGATGGGAATGTGGTTTGCTCTTGCCTATACTCCATTCCTTCTACCTGCCTCTAAGGTATAGCAGATAAGTCAACTTTTTGCAAGAGTTCTGTGTTCTCCCACGGGCAGCCAGCACCTGGGGCGATGCTGAGCCATCCTCTGGGTGATCATGCCCAGCCCAACCCGGTCCCCCGTGGGGTGGGCAGGGGCTGCACTGAGGTACTGCCCCCCTCCCACTGCCCAAACAACCCAAGACAGAGAAGGGAACTGCAAAACCACTCTTTAATGAACTAAAGAAGAATGGGGGAGAGGTTGGGGCTGAGGGCCTGGCTGCAGGTCACTGGCTCAGGGTGTCTTCTGGTCTGGGTGCTGCGTCACCGCTGTCGTCGCCTCTTCCTGGGCCGGGATGTGGCCCTGCGGGGAGGTCCCTTGTTCCGTGGAGGGGCTGGCTGGCGCCGAGCACGGGGCCTGGCTGCTGCCACCTCTCTCGTTTTGGGGTCTGCCTGGATGGTGGCGATGCCTGGTGGCAGCTGCAAGTGGTTCTTAACAACCTGGGGCTGCTTCTGCATTGCCTCCTCCCCCAGCTGGGCCACGCGGGGCAAGGGAGGCCGGGGGTCACTGGGTGGGCTGAGGGAGGGGGTCAAGTTGGGGGTGGTGGGTACGGCATCCTCGCTGTTCCTTTGCTGTGCCTCCATTGCTGGCTTCTTGGGACAGTCATCTTCCAGCAGGCATTCACAGAACTCGAGGAGCTCATCGAGGTCCTCGGCGGTCAGGCTGGGGGCGTTGGCGGCCAAGGCGGTGTCCTCGCTGTCCTCTTGAGCCACCTCCACTTGTTCCTCAGGGCAGCCACTGTCCGCCAGGTACTCAAAGAGGTCGTCCAGGAGGTCACTCAAGGTGGGGCTGTGGGGGCATTGACAATGGTGTCCTCACCCACTGGGGTTTCAGGCTGGGTGAGCAGGTGGTGGTGGGTGATGTCCTCTGCCTGCTCAGGAATGGCCTCTGTGCTGGTGGCTGGTCCCTCCTCAGGCAGATCCGTGGGCTTCCTTGGACCAGGGGTGGTAACCACTGTTGAAAATGGAACCCCAAGAGACTGAAGTTTTCCTCAGCTAGACTGCCTACCCATGGGCTCTGCTACCCCCCAAACTCACCTTCGGGCTCCATCGTGGTTCTGCCTGCCAGGGCAGGTCGGTGGTGGACACACAACACACCAGAGCCCGTGGGGTACAGGGGCTCTCCATGGAACACAGCCCTTGGCTGGTGGGGCAGAAGTGCCCCCGTCACCAGCTGCTGTCCCCAGCCATAGGCAGAAGGACAGGGAGGCAGCTGCACTGGCCAGGGAAGCTGCACCACAGGGGAAAGTGATAACACCTGCCCCGGGGCCCCCAGAGGCCCTGGGACCTCCTGCCTGACGGTGGCTGGGACCAACTGGTGGGTGCTGGTTTGGAGCTGGACAGGGCCAGAGTACAGTGGCAGCCCTGGGACAGAGGGCAGCTCCCAGGGAGCTCCCAGGGCTGGCCTGGCGAGGGCAGCGAAGCTCACGCTGGCCACCTTCAACACTGTCACCTGGAGAGGGAACCTCTCTGTTGGGGGAAGCAGAAAGGGGTGATGAGGTGAGATATTGGGGGGCGTAGCTAGTTGGGGATAACTGGAGGGCAGGACTCCCTGGAGGAATGGGGGCCTGCTGCTGTACCTGCCATGGTGCTTGGCCAGTTTGGGGTTTGTTTGGGGTAGGCAGCATTCTGGGGGTTCTGTCACCAAGGCGACTGTTTGGGGCAAACAGCATTCTGGGGATTCCATTGCCAGAGTTGGTGATCCCACCAACACTCGCTCCAGCCAGCATTGTGATGAAATGAAGAGCTGCCCACCACCAGCATGAAGGTGCCCTCCATTCCCTCCCAGCTCTGTCCCCACTCCCAGCACCAAAGCTGCCACCAGCTCAGGAACAGCAAACTGGGAATACCTTGTTGTTCCCAAAGGGAACCGCTCCCCGTGGGACAGCCCAATGCCACCCAGACCCCCTCTGGGCATGGCACAGGGAGAGCTGCACCTTTCCCACTCACCTGCCGGGTCTCCATCAGCCGTTTTGGCAGTTGCCAGGTTCAGATGCCACATCCAAGGGCGGTTGCAGAGCCCTGGGCCTGGCCCAACTGCCCTCTGGCCCTGGCACTGCACCTCCACCCCGTCCCACAGCCCTGGGGCTTGTCATGGCCCGGCCACCCCACCCAAACTGGGCACTGTTCATGCTCCAGAACTGCTGTTCAGGAACATTACAGTGGCTCCAGGCCGGGTTCTGCTGAAGTCAATTAGAAGCTTCCAAATCAATCCTTCCTTCCCCTCCTGGCGTTTGTGTGGGAAATGGAACTGGTGGGTGGAACTGAAAGGGATGTGACCCTGGTCCAAAATCGTCTCTATCATTTCAGGCCCAATTTTCAGAGCTGCTGAACACAAGTCTGCTGAAATTAAACAAAGACTTTGGTGGTCAATCGCTCTGAAACCAACTCCAGAACTGGCAACAGCTCTCATTTTGTCTCACTCTGGTGTTGTCCAAAATTAGGTTTCAAGCAGTGTGGAAGGGCATTTCCATATGTTCTTTCTGCAAATATTGCAGCAAAATGAACTGATATGTTATAAAGTAGATTCTGTTTTGTTTATGCTTTATCTTCATGCCTTTAATGAAATTAATTTTTAAATGAACCTCAAAATTCAAATAACTCAAAGTGTCTTTCCTTGCAGCTAGAATATAGTAGGTCTTTAGTCTGATCTGCCATAAAAAAATGGAGGATAAGCTGTAAAATACCTTGGGAAATGTATTTTGCCTTTTCCTATTCTGGATGATGAATTGGATAAATTCTGCTCTGGTTTGGTGCAGAAACCCAAGTTCAGATTTCCTTAGTACATCTGAACTTGCAGGAGGGTTTGTTTTATTTCATGACAGTAAAGAAAAAGGAGTTTTATCTTTTTGGTGGGGTAGAGTTTGGTGTTTTGGTGGGGGGGTTTTATTTATTTTTATTTTTATTATTAGTCTTGCACTTCTTTACAGGTGTTTCAGCTGTGTGGTGCCAGCTGGCAGGGCAGAGCCCCTGCAGTGACTGTAAGTGCCTGGTGTCAGAGTACTGGTCTCCTGTCAGCTCTGGGGTTTGTGTGACTCAGGTGGGTCATGGGAAACTGCTTTCAAGGCCTTACTTGGGGTGCTGCAGTGTCTGCTCAATGTTTCTTGTGTCTGAGGACTTCCTGACACTGGTGTCTGTGAGAGGAACTGTTGAGGCTATTTGTGTGCACAGCAGATGGTGGGGCAGCGTGGGGGCAACCCAGCAGGGTCTGAGAGCAGCAGATCTCACCTCCAGCCTGTACAAGCTCTGGACAGCAACAGAGCTGAATTCTTTGAAAACTGTGTCCACATCTTCTTTTATAACTAATAGATGTCTGCTTAATAGCTACTAAACGTCAGAACTTAGCTATTGAAGACTTACCTGGTATAAAGATAAATGCAGAGAACGTTTTGGAGTAGGCCACTCACTGGATCCACAGATCCAGCTGTGGATCTGTGGGTTTCCTGTATTTTATTTTCTTGGGTTTTATTTGGTTTTTTTTTTTTTCTTAGAGACAGAACTCAGTGAAAAGGGACTGGAGTGTAAATCCAATGAGGAACAGCTCAGGGAGCTGGGGGGGCTCAGCCTGGAGAAAAGAAGTCTCAGGGGGGACCTTCTCTCTCTGCAACTCCCTGACAGGAGAGGGGAGCCGGGAGGGGTTGGGCTCTGCTCCCAGGGAACAAGGGATAGGACAAGAGGAAACAGCCTCAAGCTGTGCCAGGGGAGAGTCAGGTTGGATATTAGGGAAATTTTTCTCATGACACACGTTGTCAAGCATTGGCACAGGCTGCCCAGGGCAGTGGCAGAGTCGCCATCCCTGGAAATGTTCACAAAACGTGTGGATGTGTCATGTGAGGACCTGGTTTACTGGTGAACATGGTGGTGGCTGGGTTGATGGTTGGATTCAATGACCTTAAAGGTCTTTTCCAAGCCTAATGTTTCTGTGATGATTCTAAAAAGATATACAGTGCTACCACTGTACCAAAGCAACTTTCGGATGGTTTAGAAGTTATTCTTGGAAACACATCCTTTGATTTGCAAGGATGAGGTAGTCAAACATGTTTGAAAATCAAATCTGGTAGTTTGGATATCGTCAGAAATTACTCTGATTTTCTGATGTCTGATAGTAAATTCACTGGATTTCATAACTGAAAATATTGTATGTTTAAAAGACTGTCATGAAAATACAACCTTCTAGGAATCCTCATCTATTGTTTCAATGAGTTGCATGTCAAAATTAGTAACTGTCAAAAGCTTAACTGTGAATCACAGAACTTACTCTGACGTCAGGTAGTGAGCCAAATTCCATCCAAATGCCATCTACTTTCCCTGAGAACAAAAAAAAAAAAAGGCTGCCTGAAGCATTTTGCAAAGATCATCTCTGATGATGGTGAGTGATGGTCATTTTTGGTGATGGTGAGGTTGTGTGTATTTGAAATATGGGACTTTAGGATGTGTGTTACTAGTGTTGAAGGTTGCAGCTCCAATGACAAAACTGAAGAGCTGCAAGTTTTAAAGGAAAACTGGTATTGTAAAGCAAGTTGATAAGGAAATTATGAAAATTTTGAACGTCAGACCCTACAATATTTAGATTGAGTTTATAACTGTTGGGATGTAGAAATGGGAGTATAGTATGATTTTACTTTCCTACCTAGATCTCTGCCTTCTCTTTCATGTTGGAATTGGTTAGGAACCTCTAAAGATTGCAAAACATCTGTTTAAAGAGCTGACTTTCTGGGCCAGCTCCAGGAAAAGACTTGGCTGTGAAGTCCCAAAAGGGATTGACTAAAATAAAGTCTTTCAAAAGGAATGAAATAGTCAAACAGACATGCAGCAGGAAGGGGTATTTAACAGCACCTCATCAAGTCTGGCAAACTAGATATTTTATTCTTTCTTCTTTTCACCTCTGCAGAAACTTTTTCCTTCCACTTTGTTTTCCTTCCCTGATCCTTCTAGTCCCAGAGTTTAATTCTTCATTCTTTGTAACAGCTTTGATTCCATGGTATGTGCCAGATCATCTCTGTAACATTGAGACAAACAATTCTAAATAGCATAGGACACAGCTTGTCTTATGTGAGTGGCCTTCAGTGTGTTTTGGGAATTTAAAGTTTTGTAGACTTGTAACAGTTAGCAGAGTAAGGCCCTAAGTAAATGCACTTGCAAAAAGAAAAGGGAAAGGGAAATAAATTGACAGTGATAATACTGTGCACCATTCACAGATGGTTCCTTACCAAGAAAAAAGTGAGTAACTTAAAATTACAGCCTCCAGGTTTGCCTGCTCCTCATGAAAAGACAAATACAGTTGTGGTTCACTCAACTGCAGATAGTTTTTTATTTGGTTAATAAACTGAAGTGTATCCAAAACTCTGGTTCAAACAGCAAGCATGCCAAAAAAAACCCTCAAAAAACAAACCCAAACAAACCAAGATATTCATGAAGGCTTGCCAGTAAAGCATTTATAATCTGATTTTTCATTCTATTCTGATTTCTGCAAATATTTTGATTATTGCAGAGCCTGGATACTAGTTTTCTAAATGTAAATTTTATGCATTAATTAGGCACCATTAAGCATTTCTCCCAAAACACATAGATTAAGCATTTCAATGTGCTTTTCTAATTACATTTAAAAAAATCAAGCTGTAAATTGCCTGGAGTCAGTTTGTACCCACACATGCAGCTCTCATTAATGTCAGTGAGTGTTAAATGTAGAGGGAGAGAAAATTAGACTTGGGATAAACCTTATTAAAATGTGCGTAGGTGTTTAAACTTAAATCTGTATTGGTTAGTGGAGAAATGCCCAAATAATAGGGTCTGGTGTAGATCCAAGGCACAATAATAATTTCCCAAACTCGCCATGTGTGGGATTCATCCTACTTCGCTCCAGGCACCTTCACTGGGGGCTGAACAAATGGCTTTCATTTCCCATTTTCCTTTGGGGATGTGCCTCCCCTGTCCTGGCACAGGCAGTGTCCCCTGGGGGTGGCCTGTTTGTGCTGCCCAGCCCAGTCTGGCTTGGCTGCTCGAGAGGTGAGGCAGGGAGGTCAGGCAGGTGGGATGATGCCAGGAGCCACCAAGGCCACGAGCCAAGGACTTGTAGGATGAGGACTGACACCCCACGTGGAGAAGAAAACCCGGGCAGGTCCCAGGGCTCCTGGGCCTCTTCCTTGGCAGCCCTTTGGCCAAGGCCCCGAGGCAGAGGTGGGGCTCAGCCCCTGCCCAGCAATGGGGCACAGGCTGAGCCCCAGGGGCACCAGACCCAGGCAGTCTGAGCTCTTCTTCCTGCAGCGTCTGCCTGGGGCTGCCCAGCCAGGCCTGAGTCTCTCCAGGAGGGGCCAAGCCCAGCCAGAGAGTCCCCTCTGCCCCTTCCATCGTGCTCCCTGCCCTGGGCCTTCCAAGAGATAGGTTGGACACCCCCAGCCTCTCCGGGGAGATGCTGCAGGGCAATTGCTCCTGCAAGAGCTTTGATTTGATGTGCCAGCTGAAGGAAATCCTGGTTTGGGGAAGAGCTGCCTGAGGTACCTGCCCTGCTGCTGCCTGAAGAAGGACATTCTCCAGAAACAAGAGAAATAAAAAAATGTGTGAAGACTTGGAAGAGGAGAATAATTTCTCCATGAATCCACAGCTCCAGCAATGCTCTGGGTATGCAGGATGCATGGCCAATGCTGTCCGGAACATTCTCCATCAACAAATGTTTTATATCAAACTGGCTTCATGAAATGAACATTCAAAGATAGAGAGGAGGTTGCAAAGTGTCTCCTAACCCAAGAGAAATCACATTCTGCCTGCTCTGGTGTCTTGATGTTATGGTGAAAAAGACAGTTGATTGCCAAGCCACTGATTTGTCACTCATGCCATGGTGCACTTGGCTTTTGCTTGACTCTGGGAGCAGCTGTGGGGTTTGTGGAGTGAAGCTGACCCATGTGTTTGTGTATTGCTGTG